CAAAGAATCTCAGAAAAATATTTCTTTATAGTTAGAAACAAGTACTGAGAAACAAGTTGGTGCTTTGATGTCAATACAGGGTTATCAATATGAAGTGTAATTTAGAGTTAGCGATGCGCTTCCACATCCAGTTATTAGGCACAGAATGTTTTCTCATATAAAACAAACACAAAGGAGGTACAAATGGAGCACATTATGGTTTTCCGTGAATAGGACCCTATAGAAACATACAATACAATTGCAGTGTGTTGTTATATTAATAATAGAGACAGATAATGAATGCATAATGACATTAATGGTTTTGTATGAACAAAATACTTACTCGTAACTTGTGCATGAGTGTGACATTCCGTAAGGAGAGTAGGTGTCTCCCATAGTACTGGAGATGACACTCCGCTACTGGGTGTAGTTGGTGCCTTGGAAGGGAGACATACTAATTATTATGGACTATACAATATAAAGCGGTCTGGACATCTGCTACATCTGAAGGTAGAGTCCTGCCATGCTAAGGACCATTAGCCGTACAGATGGCAGGGATATGTTTATTCATATGAAGGCACTGCCCAATGTCGATTATGTGCAGGTTGTCATAGTAAGGATATATCATTTGTTAACGTCAGAAATAAAATAAGATTCGAAATTACAAAGTCGCATTTATTGGTCGAATGCGGGTTCGTTTTTGTTTATGGAGTTGTGTTTTAGTCGGCTTTGTTTGTGAAGTGTTTGAGGGTTAAAGGGGTTATACCTCTGCATACAATCAACAATTAAGATCCCCATCAGTCATAATCCGTTTGTTTTATGCTATATGGTTAACTATCCCGCTGTTTTATACGACTTCACGTGTTAACTTCTATCTGTCTTAAGCGATGTGGCAGTTAATTGGCTTCCCATACTATTGCAGTCCTAATTACCCACTGTGCTCACACTTGTAGATATGAAACCAATCCTAATTCTGTTCAATACTTTCTAAATAACGGTGTTAGAACTTCGCTACCACCGAAACGTCGCTCTCACTGTAATAAAAGACCGTTTATTTCATCCCTCTTAACTTCTTGAGGTTTGAAGAAGTTTAACCACTGGTTTAAATCATCTCGGCCATTGCCAATGTAAATTATCTTTCAAAATTATAATAACTCCTTCCTATGTGCTTTCTGTAGGTGTAACTTGTTTGTTATTGCTTCAGTGTTTTTGTTTCCTTTCTAGAGGCGCACATTTTACGTTTTTACGGTTCACAAAGTTTACAAAATATCAGAGCATTCTCTTTGGAGGCCAGTATTCCTTCGATACAATTTTATAGCACGCAACTTAAAGGCACGTAAGGAACTGTCTTGCTTTTGGAATCGAATACTGCTTTCTGAAATCTGATATGCATGAACGTCTTTCAGATTTAACTAAAGAAGTAAATGTCTTTCATAAAAATGATTCTCACATCACAAATCAGACAATAACTGTATAATGATGACATTAATAGCCCTATTTTTAATTGCAGGTCCCGTTCCAGTACACTATGGACTTGAACGTTTGGTGCAGTCACTGTAACAAGCATGTGAAACGACGGACACGTGCGCCATCTTACTTAACTTCCAGCAGAGTTTTCTACAGATTCGGAGTCAGATAGTGACATAAAAGATTACAACATCGGGACGGTTCGATATTGAGAGGTCTTGCTTGGGCGAATGGCTTGCTCCAGTGTTGCTGAAAATCTTGTAGAAGTTTGGCCACAACATAGACGCAGACGACGTCAGAGACAAGATATCAAGGACCCGCACATATTCAAGGTCCTGACTTACGTCATGAGATTACTATGGAAGCTCTTGATGGGAGCAGTGTTACTGCATTATGGATATCATCTTGGGTGGTTAGAATTTTTTCATTCGCATCTTCAGTTCTTGAAAATGATTTATTAAGAATGTTTATAGATTCTAAATCGTGGTTGTTTTTTCCTTAATCGATCAAGTAGCTTTTGACCTAAGAACTGATCCTTGAGTTTTGGTTTCGTATATTTCTTCGAGTTCCTGCTGTAATTGTAATATTTCAGAAATAAAATCAGATCTGCCTTTGCACTGTGGCATCAGCGATTAATCTAACCCGCTTCTGTTTCATTGAGGTTTTATCTGTAAGTTGAACATAGAGACTTTCTGTGTTTCATCTTCTCTTTCTATGTAATTTCAACGTTTCAGGGCTTGTTCTGGCCCCATCATCAGGGTTGAACTAAAGTACCATCGGATACTATTAGTCAAATCATAAAGGTTGGTTTTAATGAAATCAGATACTGTTTGTGGTCCATGACATTTTCCAAACATTGAACAAAATATATCCACAGAAAAGGAACAACATAGGCACAAATTCACCACACACAATATATCATTTCACTGCCTTGTAACTTTACAACATGTTCGTTGTGGAGAACATATTCCCTTGGAGGCCAGGTGACACGCCGTGCGTTCTATTGTTGTCTTACAGCTTATCGCTGTCAAATTATCAATATGAATTTTCTAGCAAAGGAAGTACAAAAACAACAACCTGAAAGCATAACTTGTAGAAGAGATGTTACATAAGGTGTTCGAGCTTATTTCGCTCATTTATTAGGAACTCATTAAAGATGAGTCCTTCAGGTTTTGGGTCACTTATTGGAAAACGTTGTTTGGAGGTAACATTATACAGTGGAAAGCTGATTAATTAAAATTTCAAGGGACTCGCCAAAATTGTATTAACGTTTTTGTTGACATACGGTTACAGACATAGAATGGTGACACAATGGCAAAATAATTACTTTATCACTCGTTTTCTTCCATGCCGATGATGGAACCGAAGGTCCATTTCATATATACTTATGTCGTTCAGATGGCGGGCGGTATTTTGTTCGCTCCCACTGTCCATAAAGATGCCAAATAAAAGAAAATCGTCTCTTAATATGCTCTTATTTAACGCGCAACAAAGTTTCGGACAACATTTAGCAGTGTCTATTTTTCAAACCGCCAAAGTATTTGCACTTGAGTCTAGGCCATCGGATGGGAAATGTAAAATTCTACATTCCTGAGTGATTTATAGTTGTAGAGTAGATCCAGTGCCGCGCGAACAGAAAATTCTCGCGCAACGTTCACACTTAAATATTATTAAAATGTGCCTCAGAAAAAACACCCATCGGCATCGACGGGTTTTAAAATTCGTGAAAGGTGAAATATTGACACAAATCTTACAACGCCACATATATGTTTCTGTTTTTCAGTCAAAATCGGGGCGGTGGGGTAGCCATGGTTAAAGCGTTTGCTCGTCACGCGGAAGACCCGGGTTCGATTCGTCATATGGGTACAATGTGTGAAGCCCATCTCTGGTGTCCCCCACCGTGATATTGCTGGAATATTGCTAAAAAGCGGCGTACACCCAAAACTCGCTCACTCCAGTCAAAATCAGCATGGGAATTGAACACATTTGAGAAGCTCTGAATATCGGACGATGGGTTGACCCGATCATAGATAATTTGGTTTGACACTTAATGTGTGTGTGTGTCAATGTATTATTGTACCAAATGCTTTGTTATACGTATATTTCAAAGGAGACATTTAAAGCTTGGTCACGAAAATAAAATCTTTTGTATTTTATTTCTTGAATGCTTAATGTTGCTTTCATAGAATGTTTGCGAATGTATTTTTGCACATCGAATTCTAAAGCGTTTCTAGCACATGCATTAAATAGTCAGGGTGTTCTGTTTTCATCCTCAGTGGGATCCTCATCAAACCTGTCTGCTTGGTGTGTTTAATACATACGGTTGATTTCTCTCGGTCGAAATTTCAGTCGTTTGTTAGTGTTATGAATCTCAAGTCGATGTCGTGTCATCATACCTTTGATTTCCCAATCTTAAGCATTTGGCTGTAATAAGGAGAAGTACTGAACTTCGAGGATTCGCATTACATGGAACACTCATCTATTTCTAAACAAGCAAATAAGGAGAATCGCCAAAGACCAATGCATAATCGATTATATGCGTGTCGTTACTTGCGACGTTGGATTGAATAAATAATGATTTCATTCAATGCATGTTATGTATTTCGTGGCAACACACTCATTTCGATGCATGCGTTTTCCGTGATGTGCACCTGAACGTGATGTTGCCATGTGTGATGATGTACAGTTCAGTAATTAAACACCCTGGACTGAAAGTTAGAGTCTTTGAATGACATTTAGACTGAAAACTGTTCTGATATTTTTTAAAGCTCAAATGTTCTTGACATGCGGTTTGTGTCGCGCCAGGAACGGCTACGTCAATGGGATGTTGGAAGTTGGAACACGAACGGTATGGACAGACATGAAAGGAACAGTGATGGCAGGCCGTTTCATCAGAACGACTGTGTTGCCAAACCATGGCCTAAGTGCATCTTAGATTGAGATTAGCACCCCAGAGCAACAGATGTTAGAAAATGGAAATGCGATTCGTAGTCGGCTACACAGATGGAACCAGCATGCCCTACGTCCACGACGGACGGACATTACCGCACGATGTCGTTTGTGCCAAGAGCGGCCCAGCTGGACCAATCGCCGTTGGGCAAACGTCAAGTTTTCGTTAGAACCACTCTCAACGAACTTGAATTGCTGCCGTGCAGGCATAATATGATGAAATGAGCCAAGCTGACACTGGACATTTGATTATGAGCATGCCTTGTCGAATCCGGGTTTGTCTTCAGAAAAGGGTATCATGACGCTAGTATTAATCGTAATACAACCCATTTCATAGCGTTACTAAAACATTTAGACGATGGACCAAAACACCCCTTTAATTGACAATTTTTCTTCTGCTTACATCTTATCTGCAACAGGTTATAATTATGACTGTTATTGAACATGTTCATGTGTACTCTTAAAACTGGAATAAATAAAATGAGGCAATGCTTTCCTTAAGAATAGGTATCTTTCCATGTCATTCGAGTACAATATATTTTTTTTTCGTGAAGTAGTGTTTTTAGTAGCGTGCTCCTATAATCATTAAAGGTTGTCAAGTTGCTTATCTTTAAAGAGATAGATCTAACACAGTGAAGGGTGTATTATTGGAGATATTGACAGTTCCACGCTGATTATAAGACATGCCACCGTACTACTGTGTGTCTCAGTCTTACCGGTCCCAAGGTAGGTGTATCTGCCAGTTTAGTTGTTTTATGCATAATCTAAGGGGTATTAATCTGTAGAAACGTTAGAGTCAACGAGATCTTGTGGCTACACCATTTATTCTCTCAACCTAATTTTGCTGTTCCCCTCATCTGTATAACAGGAGTGCGAGTGAAGTGGAATTACCTATTCCATACGCATGCTACATTAATACAAGCAAACAATAGATATTATTACTATGTAGTACTCTTTGAGTGAGTTGTGATGCTCATTCTATAATCACAATCTAGTCATGTGTTATTAGTTTTGCACAATGACAATATCTTGCGAGTAATGAGTAAAGCTTAGCATATTATGCTACTGCTGAAAGCAAAACCTAGGAGACCCTGTTGTTTGAAATTCATCCATCCATTACTCACCATTAAGACAAAATGTGTTGTCCTTCATTTTTACCCTCTAGGGTGAAAGTGCCAATGCCTATTAAAATATTGGTAGTTTGGTTCAAAGGTGACTATCGCAAGTTATGTCCTTGTAGGCACGATGCTCTTTCTAACTGTGTGTCTCGTGAGTCTTTCGACTTCGTCATTGGCTGCGCCCTTCACCCGTAACACAGGCGATGAATTGCTGGCGGCGCTCTTGGAAATGGGGTTAGCGCAGGACTAAGGAGGGCACTTCATGCTGGGGCCGAGAAGGTTGCCGATCTTGCTGCCCACAGTATGATTAGTTACTACTTTATAATACAAGAAGCATCCATTACAATATACCAATCTTAATGGGGAAAAGGCATATTTTAACACATATGTAACTAGAATTCTTATTTGTTTTGTTTAATGTACGGTGTTTTACAATGCTGTGTCATTGTATCAGATATGTTAAAATTATCAACCATTTATTGTGCTACAATTATTTGCAGGTTGCCGTGATAAAAGTAGAAACGCATTCTTTTACCATGTTATGTATTCATTAGGAGTCACATCTCTACTGTCACATGCTCTTACAAGTATCCTGGGGAAAACGCGACATCGGAAATATGCTCCCATTGGAACAGGACCTGAAGACAGCTATACAAAATGCCATCTTTACAGAAACTAAAGGTACTCTGCATCGGCTGACACACCAAAGCAGAACTGTCTTCTATTTCCGACTATGTACATATTATGTAAAGCTAAAGGCTAGAAAGCTGCATATATAAAACACAGGTAACACGTATCCAACTGAAGCAAGCAAGTGACTTTTGAGACGTTAAAGGCGCCTTTGTCTTGAAACATAGTTTTACATACACATTTTCCTTCGCATATATATATATATATATATATATATATATATATCTGTTAATATATATCGTCGTTAAGGTTATCACATGGAAATAGACTTATCCTTCACTTAGGGTCATTTCATACATGTAGTCGTTCGAGTTGTTGCTGGATAGAGACATTGTTTTCCAGATTGGAGGTGAGGGGTTGGGGTTGGGGTTGGGTTTCAAAACACGTTATACAATGTGTCAATTTTGACTGCACTAGTAAAACAACACATGGGAATGTGAACCATGCATTGATATGGGTTAATTGTGTCCTCTTCATGTTGTTGGTAGTTTTGTGCATAAAATGAGGTAATGCAGTTGGACTGTATTTTTACGTTTCTCCTTACCCCGTCATCCTTGTGTGTACTGACAGTTGTCCAAAACAGTCAACACAAGATTTTCTCATATGACAAATGTGTACATGTTCTTGATAACAATAGAAAGCTTTGGGAGTTTGGCACAGAAACTAACCCTAACCCTAAACAAAGAAAACATAAAACATAAAAATAGTCAAAACACCCCAGTTCTGCACAAGAATACTGAATTACGATCCAAAAGAAAGAAGAAAGAAGAAAAATAGAAAAACCTTTTGCGCGTAAAAGCGCCCTCAAAATCTATCAAAATTTTGAATAAAAGACAAATTTATCAAACACATACATTTGAATACAAAAACAGAACAACCAAAAGTCAACAGATCCGCATGTTCCTGAAAGGCGTTTTGCGAGAAGAAATATACAGTGGTATCAGAGCCCTAACGCTTACATGGTCCTTCGGAGGTTCTGCACCCATTCATTGGAACTGCACTAATCTTGAGACATACACAGCGACATATACACTTATCCGTATGTTGTACTCACTACGTGCCCTTCTGATATGGCTTCCAGAAACAGGACTGAGCAACATTCTTGGCAGAAGTGATTTGGAGGCCGATAATGCCGGCAGTCTTCAACAACTTTTGGAAAGCACTAATAATGAAGTGAGTTTCTTGAGTGTACTGACATTGTCGGAGGTAAAAGGCTTAAACTCCAGCATTCACAATCTAAAATGAATAGTGTACATTTTGTAAAGGTTTCAGTCGACTGGTTAAAGATTACGCTAACATTATAATTATAAACATAACATGTTACGTATCTGAACCATTCCTTGTTCCAGAGGGAGTTGAAACATTTCTGACAGACCTAAAGGTAAAGAGAAGTGAATGGGAGATGAGCTTCTTGCGCGGCGCTGACTCCAGGGAAGTACACGGGCTGCTGCAGCCATCGCCTCCTCTGCACCTGACTCCTCTCACAACAGGTAGCCTTCTTTATCGACGTACTACTGGTTTGCACCCCATTTCGGGTAGAACCATAGTTCACTGGGAACTCGAAATGAATATCTTTGCCAAACGTTAGTACTTACAGTCACATAGAATTTCTAAAACACCAGTGGACGCTAAGCGGGATTTAGATATGCCACATACACGATACTGGTACCCCATGGTAAGAGTTATGATTCCATCTGTGCACGGTTTCTAAGAACATGCTCCAGCGCTTTTAACATGTCTTATTTTATTTCAGCACTGAGCAACGGGCTTTCTTCGCTGACAAGCGGAGCAGTGAGTGTTATCACTCACGTCCTATCATCGATACTCTCGGCTGAAAGAAGAAGCGTTTCTTTGAGTGTATTACAAGTAGTAACATGCGAGACACAAAGCCTTGTAACTCATCTGTTATTTTCTGGAACATTTTGCATAATTACATTTACACATTAAAATTAAAAGTGTATGGGGTAAATGACTGAATTACAGTCACAACAAAACTATTTGCAAATTTCTTTTTATACCATAGTCGAACTCAAAAATGCCAAACGGCAACGAATTATGGAGTGCATAAGAACATGAAACAAGGTTAAGAAGAAAATATCTGTGTGTAATGCCTTCTGAAAAAAGTCTACATGACACAAACTAATGCTTAATTCTGATTGCCCAATATCCCTGTCATATGATTGTGCTATATACGAGTTCGGACCGGACAATTACAGTGAACGAAGTAACCACCCGCAACTTGTCGGGATATGAAAACATGGTGGTGTCTTCATAAAAATATCTGTCTTTGATTTTTGTTGGCAACACATATCTATCAAATTGAGAAGTTCAGGTTCTTCCTACTTTTTTAGAAGATTATAGTTGAGCCAAAACAGGGCAGTATATAGATGACGCAAGAGATAAATATAAATATATACACTTAAAAAGTAGGGGATCACCAAAAATAATAATCATTTAATACCAAGTTTCCGAAAAAAGAAAAGTGTTGACGAAAATAAACCCTGTAAAAGAAGGTTAATTCCTTAAAATGTAACACCAAAACAGATCCTGTAAAAGAAAGTTAATTCCTTAAAATGTAACACCAAAACAGATCCTGTAAAAGAAGGTTAATTCCTTAAAATGTAACACCAAAACAGATCCTGTAAAGAGAGGTTAATTCTTTAAACTGTAACACCAAAACAAGATCCTGTAAAAAGAAATTAATTCCTTAAAATGTAACACCAAAACAGATCCTGTAAAGAAGGTTAATTCCTTAAAATGTAACACCAAAACGGATCCTGTAAAAGAAGGTTAATTCTTTAAAATGTAACACCAAAACAGATCCTGTAAAGAAGGTTAATTCCTTAAAATGTAACACCAAAACAGATCCTGTAAAAGAAGGTTCATTCCTTAAAATGTAACACCAAAACGGATCCTGTAAAAGAAGGTTAATTCCTTAAAATGTAACACCAAAACAGATCCTGTAAAAGAAGGTTAATTCCTTAAAATGTAACACCAAAACAGATCCTGTAAACCAACGTTAATTCCTTAAAATGTAACACCAAAACAGATCCTGTAAAAGAACGTTAATTTCCTTAAAATGTAACACCAAAACAGATCCTGTAAAAGAAGGTTAATTCCTTATAATGTAACACATCCTGAAAGAAACAGATCCTGTAAAAGAAGGTTAATTTCTTTAAAATGTAACACCAAAACAGATCCTGTAAAAGAAGGTTAATTCCTTAAAATGTAACACCAAAACAGATCCTGTAAAAGAAGGTTAATTCCTTAAAATGTAACACCAAAACAGATCCTGTAAAAGAAGGTTCATTCCTTAAAATGTAACACTAAAATGTCCTGTAAAGAAGGTTAATTCCTTAAAATGCAACACCAAAACAGATCCTGTAAAAGAAGGTTAATTCCTTAAAATGTAACACCAAAACAGATACTGTAAAAGAAGGTTAATTCCTTAAAATGTAACACCAAAACAGATCCTGTAAAAGAAGGTTCATTCCTTAAAATGTAACACCAAAACAGATCCTGTAAAAGAAGGTTAATTCCATAAAATGTAACACAAAACGGGAACAGATCCTGTGAAAAGAAGGTTAATTCCTTAAAATGTAACACCAAAACAGATCCTGTAAATAAGGTTAATTCCTTAAAATGCAACACCAAAACAGATCCTGTAAAAGAACGTTAATTCTTTAAATGTAACACCAAAACAGATCCTGTAAAAGAAGGTTAATTCCTTAAAATGTAACACCAAAACAGATCCTGTAAAAGAAAGGTTAATTCCTTAAAATGTAACACCAAAACGGATCCTGTAAAAGAAGGTTAATTCTTTAAACTGTAACACCAAAACGGATCCTGTAAAGAAGGTTAATTCCTTAAAAAGTAACACCAAAACAGATCCTGTAAAAGAAGGTTAATTCCTTAAAATGTAACACCAAAACGGATCCTGAAAAAGAAGGTTAATTCCTTAAAATGTAACACCAAAACAGATCCTGTAAAAGAAGGTTAATTCCTTAAAATGTAACACCAAAACGGATCCTGTAAACCAACGTTAATTCCTTAAAATGTAACACCAAAACAGATCCTGTAAAAGAAGGTTAATTTCTTAAAATGTAACACCAAAACGGATCCTGTAAAAGAAGGTTAATTCCTTATAAAGTGACACAAAACAGATCCTGTAAAAGAAGGTTAATTTCTTTAAATGTAACACCAAAACAGATCCTGTAAAAGAAGGTTCATTCCTTAAAATATAACACCAAAACAGATCCTGTAAAAGAAGGTTAATTCCTTAAAATGTAACACCAAAACAGATCCTGTAAAAGAAGGTTCATTCCTTTAAATATAACACCAAAAAAGACCCTGTAAAGAAGGTTAACTCCTTAAAATGCAACACCACCAAAACAGATCTTGTAAGAGAAGGTTTATTCTTTCAACTGTAACACCAAAACAGATCCTGTAAAAGAAGGTTAATTCCTTAAAATGTAACTCCAAAACAGATCCTGTAAAAGAACGTTAATTCCATAAAAAGTGACACAAAAACAGATCCTGTGAAGGAAGGTTCTTTCCTTAAAATGTAACACTAAAATGTCCTGTAAAGAAGGTTAATTCCTTAAAATGCAACACCAAAACAGATCCTGTAAAAGAAGGTTAATTCCTTAAAATGTAACACCAAAACAGATCCTGTAAAAGGACATTAATTCTTTAAACTGTAACACCAAAACGGATCCTGTAAATGAAGGTTAATTCTTTAAACTGTAACACCAAAACAGATCCTGTAAAAGAAGGTTAATTCCTTAAAATGTAACACCAAAACAGATCCTGTAAAAGAAGGTTCATTCCTAAAAATGTAAAACCAAAACGGATCCTGAAAAAGAAGGTTAATTCCTTAAAATGTAACACCAAAACAGATCCTGTAAAAGGAGGTTAATTTCTTAAAATGTAACACCAAAACGGATCCTGTAAACCAACGTTAATTCCTTAAAATGTAACACCAAAACAGATCCTGTAAAAGAAGGTTAATTCCTTATAAAGTGACACAAAACAGATCCTGTAAAAGAACATTAACTTCTTAAAATGTAACACCAAAACAGATCCTGTAAAAGAAGGTAAATTCCATAAAATATAACACCAAAACAGACCCTGTAAAACAACGTTAATTCCTTAAAATGTAACACCAAAACAGATCCTGTAAAAGAAGGTTAATTCCTTAAAATGTAACACCAAAACAGATCCTGTAAAAGAAGGTTAATTCCTTAAAAGGTTAATTTTTAAATAACACCAAAACAGATCCTGTAAAGAACGTTAATTCCTTAAAATGTAACACCAAAACAGATCCTGTAAAAGAAGGTTAATTCCTTAAAATGTAACACCAAAACAGATCCTGTAAAAGAAGGTTAATTCCTTAAAATGTAACACCAAAACAGATCCTGTAAAAGAACATTAATTCTTTAAACTGTAACACCAAAACAGATCCTGTAAAAGAAGGTTAATTCCTTAAAATGTAACACCAAAACAGATCCTGTAAAAGAAGGTTAATTCCTTAAAATGTAACACCAAAACAGATCCTGTAAAAAGAAGGTTAATTCCTAAAAATGTAACACCAAAACAGATCCTGTAAAAGAAGGTTAATTCCTTAAAATGCAACACCAAAACAGATCCTGTAAAAGAAGGTTAATTCCTTAAAATGTAACACCAAAACAGATACTGTAAAGAAGGTTAATTCCTTAAAAGTAACACCAAAACAGATCCTGTAAAAGAAGGTTCATTCCTTAAAATGTAACACCAAAACAGATCCTGAAAAAGAAGGTTAATTCCTTAAAATGTAACACCAAAACAGATCCTGTAAAAGAAGGTTTAGTTCCTTAAAATGTAACACCAAAACAGATCCTGTAAAAAGAAGGTTAATTCCTTAAAATGTAACACCAAAACAGATCCTGTAAAAGAAGGTTAATTCTTTAAGCTGTAACACCAAAACAGATCCTGTAAAAGAAGGTTAATTCCTTAAAATGTAACACCAAAACGGATCCTGTAAAAGAAGGTTAATTCCTTAAAATGTAACACCAAAACGGATCCTGTAAAAGAAGGTTAATTCTTTAAACTGTAACACCAAAACGGATCCTGTAAAAGAAGGTTAATTCCTTAAAATCTAACACCAAAACAGATCCTGTAAAAGAAGGTTCATTCCTTAAAATGTAACACCAAAACGGATCCTGAAAAAGAAGGTTAATTCCTTAAAATGTAACACCAAAACAGATCCTGTAAAAGGAGGTTAATTCCTTAAAATGTAACACCAAAACGGATCCTGTAAACCAACGTTAATTCCTTAAAATGTAACACCAAAACAGATCCTGTAAAAGAAGGTTAATTTCTTAAAATGTAACACCAAAACGGATCCTGTTAAAGAAGCTTAATTCCTTATAAAGTGACACAAAACAGATCCTGTAAAAGAACATTAATTTCTTTAAATGTAACACCAAAACAGATCCTGTAAAAGAAGGTTCATTCCTTAAAATATAACACCAAAACAGATCCTGTAAAAGAAGGTTAATTCCTTAAAATGTAACACCAAAACAGATCCTGTAAAAGAAGGTTCATTCCTTTAAATATAACACCAAAAAAGACCCTGTAAAGAAGGTTAACTCCTTAAAATGCAACACCAAAACAGATCTTGTAAGAGAAGGTTTATTCTTTCAACTGTAACACCAAAACAGATACTGTAAAAGAAGGTTAATTCCTTAAAAAGTAACACCAAAACAGATCCTGTAAAAGAAGGTTAATTCCTTAAAATGTAACTCCAAAACAGATCCTGTAAAAGAACGTTAATTCCATAAAAAGTGACACAAAAACAGATCCTGTGAAGGAAGGTTCTTTCCTTAAAATGTAACACTAAAATGTCCTGTAAAGAAGGTTAATTCCTTAAAATGCAACACCAAAACAGATCCTGTAAAAGAAGGTTAATTCCTTAAAATGTAACACCAAAACAGATC